CTCAGCTCACTGCAACCTCCGCCTCCTGGGTTCAGGCAATTCTCCTGCCTCAGCCTCCTGAGTAGCCGGGATTACAGGCATGCACCACCATGCCCAGCTAATTTTTTGTATTTTTAGAGACGGGGTTTCACCATGGATGGTCTCGATCTCTTGACCTCGTGATCCACCCGCCTCGGCCTCCCAAAGTGCTGGGATTACAGGCTTGAGCCACCGCGCCCGGGCTTGTCTGCAGCTTTTAAACTTTAACTGAGTTTGGTCTTGACCTTCTTCTGGTCTCTCACCTCATGATAATGCCGTCACACCTAGTTGTCACTTAATTGTTCTCAGCTTTTCCTTACCCCTCCGGAGGGCATCAGTACAACTTTTTAAAGACCAACAATTCCACTGCCCTTGTAAGACTTGTTCTCCTGAGCTTTTCAAGTGCCTGAATTATTGCAGTAAGCAGGGCAAGGTGGTCCCCTTCCCAGGAACATTCCCCTGAGTCACCACCGTGAAAGTTTTAGCAATTGTGTCGCTGCTTAATGCTAGGGACTATTTGTGCCCCCTGCTTCCCCCAGGATGATATTCTTATGACCAGCCAGGCAGAAAGGGATCCAGTCCAAACTCATCAACTGTTTTGTTAGATCACTCTTAGAACTGACTGTGTCATTTGAGTCCTCTGGGAAGTAGTGGCTGAGGCCAAATTAGAGGTCCCAGTTTATTAATGGGGAGGGGAGTTAATCCTTGTGAAAGATACAAAAGGGAAGATGCATAATTGGGCAGCAGAAATCTTCAGGCTGCAGTGTAGATGAGACAGCTGTGAAAAGGAAGGGGCGAGCACGAGGGTTGGCGTCGTGAGCCTCGGAATCTCATCCAGCTCAGCAGGGATCTGCAGAGCAAAATCCCCTGAAAAAAGTCCCACCTGGGCAGAAAGGGCGGGCTTCCCTGTTGTGCAGTCATTGGCCAGGGGCTACTTAGAAACGGCCCGGTGGATCCTGAAGGAATTGCAAGTGGAAGCTGCCAGCTAACTGCACTCTTGCCAGCTAAATGGCAAGCTTTTTCTTAAAGGGAAATCAAAATGGTAGACCATTTAATTGCCATTTGTAGGGGAGAAGGGTTCTTGGGGTTTAATTGCTCTCTATACAGACTTTCAAACGAACCACTTGTTTTTTTTGTTGTTTTGTTGTTGTTGTTGTTTAAGATGGAGTCTCGTTCTGTTGCCCACGCTGAAGGGCAGTGGCGCTGTCTCAGCTCACTGCAGCCTCCACTTCCCGAGTTCAAGTGATTCTCCTGCTCAGCCTCCCAAGTAGCTGAGACTACAGACATGTTCCACCATGCCCAGCTAACTTTCTGTATTTTTAGTACAGACAGGGTTTCACTGTGTTAGCCAGGATGGTCTCAATCTCCTGACCTCATGATCCACCCGCCTCGGCCTCCCAAAGTACTGAGGTTACAGGGGTGAGCCACTGCGCCTGGCCACACCACTTGCTTTTTGTCCAATGCCTTGCCCTCCCCCACCTCCCTTACCTCCACCTTCATTGCCCCAGTTGCTGCCAGGTTCTATAAGGTCAGCTTACCTAATTTGGAGATTCCTAGAAGGCTCGCTAGAGATGACATTTGAGCTGTGACTTAAAGAATACATGGGAGTTAGTGGGGAAGCTGAGGATGATTCCAGGCAGAGGTTTCATCAGAGTGAAAGCACCAAGTTTTAAATAATGCTGTGTGTTCAGGGAACAGGTCATCAGTGTTACTCTAGCATAGTCATTCCCAAAATGTATCTTCATTTCATTAAGGAAATCAAAACTATAATGAGATATCATCTGACACTCCTCAGGATGGCTACGATTTTTTAAAAAAACAAAGTGTCAGTGAGGATGGAGAGAAATTGGGACCTTGGTGCATTGCTGGGAGGAATGTGAAATGATGCAGCCTCTGTGGAAAACAATGTAGTGGCTCCTCAAAACGTTAAACAGAATTGTAATACAATCCAGCAATTCCACTTCTAGGGATATATCCAAAAGAATTGAAGGCAGAGACTGAGATGCCTGCACACCAGTGCTCATGGCAGCAATATTCACAGTGAGCCAGAAGGTGGAAGCAACACAAATGTCCATCAACAGATAAATGGATAAAACAAAATGGCATATACAATGGAATATTATTTGGCCTGAAAAAGGATTCGAATTCTGACACTTGCTGCAACATGGATAAACCTTGAAGACATTACACTTAGTGAAATAAGCAGACACAAAAGGACAAAAGTGGTGTGGTTCCACTTAAATGAGGTTCCTGGAGTAGGCAAATTGACATAGTATCAGAGGTTTACCAGTGGCTTGAGGGAGGAGGGAAGGAGGAGGTATGGTTTCATGTGTACAGAGTTTCTGTTTGGATGATGCAAAAAGGCCTGAAACCAGACAATGGTGATGGCTGTAAACATTGAGTCTACCTAGTACCCCTGCATTGTACACCTAGAAGTGGCTGAACATGACTTTTACATTATGTGTATTTTGCCATAATAATAATTTTTTAAAATGTGGCCCTGGACAGACAGCATTCATATCACCTGGGAACTTGTTAGAAATACAAATTCTAGGCTGGGTGTGGTAGGTCACATCTGTAATCCCAGCACTTTCGGAGGCCAAGGTGGGTGGATCCTGAGGTTAGGAGTTCGAGACCAGCCTGGCCAACATGTTGCAACCCCATCTCTACTAAAAATACAAAAATAAGCCAGGTGTGGTGATGTGCACCTGTAATCCCAGCTACTTGGAAGGCTGGGGCAGGAGAATTCGCTGAATCCAGGAGGCAGAGGTTGCAGTGAGCTGAGATTGTGCCACTGTACTCCAGCTTGGGTGGCAGAGCAAGACTCTGTCTCAAAAAAAAAAAAAAAAAGAAAAAAGAAATACAAATTATTGGGCCCTATCCCAGACTTACAGAATCAGAAACCCTGGGGGAGGGGGGACAGTAATTCTAATGCCCCCTGATGTTTGAAAGCCATTCTTCTGTAACATGAGATGGGAAGATGAGGCTGGAGAGGAATGTAGTAGCCAGGTCATGGAGAGCCTTGTCTGCCATGGTAAGATGCTTGGACTTTATCCTACCAGCCAAGAGCTAATTCTGGATTTTAAGGAAGGTATTGACATAGCTATATTTGTAGGATTTATCTATTTTGTAGTTACAGAAATAACAAGCTCATTACAGAAAACTTGGAAAACTAATCAATAAAAGAAAATCACCCATAATCTAACACTGGAAGATAATTCCTGTTAATATTTTGATGTATGTCATTTCAGTTTTTGGTGCATATATACATACATTTTTAAAACCAAGTAGAGGATCATAATGGACTGCTTTTTTTCATGTAGTGGTATATCATGAACATTTTTACATATTATGGGATCTTTTGCCATTTTTATTGACTGCAGAATTACGTATTTGGTAGCTTTTTCTGGCAATACTGTAGAAGATGAATTTCAGGAAGACAAGAATGAGTTCCTGCAGGGATTGAAGTTATGAAGCTGCTGCAGTAAATCAGGCTGGTGATGATAAGGCCTAAAGCACTGCACCGCAAACAGGGAGAGTCTGGGACGGATGTGAGAACATTTTAGATGTAAAGACTTACTGATTGATGATACATTGGAGGTGCTGTTTCTTGACGTGGGTGGTATTTTAAGGTTTTTAATGTTGGATTGGAAAGTGTGGAGGATAGTGGATTACATTTAGGAGATGTTGAGTTTGGGGAGACGCTGAGCTTTAAGGGTTCATGGGACATGTTAAGTAGAGATACCTGGTCAACAGTGAAGTATGTGAATGGTTATTAACATCTGAAAGTGGATTAAATCCCCCCAAGGAGAGTATATGGAATGACAGGGTTGATGGCTGGTGGAATGATTTACAGACAAGCCATGAGAAACACCAATGTGTAAGCTAAATGCAAGCAGCCCAAGGAAATTAAGAAGGAATGGTTAAAAAAAATCAAAAAATCACTCCCACTGCTTCACTTGACTAGCCTTAAAAAACAATCCATCAATCAATTTTAAAATAAGAAGGAATAGTCAGAGGAGAGGAATAAAGGAAGAAATAATGCCACCAAAGCAAAACGAAAAGACATTCAATAACCAGCAGATGGCCAGCCAAAGTTAAGTGTCCACTGGTTTTTGGCAACGTGCAGGCAAATTTTCTTGTGTGAGAAGAGGGAGAGAGCCTCTGGATAATACAGATGGAGTAGTAATTAGGAATCCAGGGATAGAAAAATGGAATTTAGCCTTTCATTGAGCTAAGAAGAGTCAGGATGGGGTCATCCCTAAGGAAGGCACAGGCTTAAGGAAAGGTCTTCAGAAGCTACTGTATTTTGTTTTTGGCATGGAATGGACTTCTGTATGATTATAAGCTGAACAGACGAGCAATAGATGAAGAAAGATCAGTGATATTCAGGAGTATGTAATTAATGGAGTACAGTGTCCATGGAAATGGGCTCCCTAGGAAAGGACTCATTTGGGGATGGGGTTGGTCCCATCTTTTTGGATCAGTAATGGCAGGAGTTGAGATGAGATTGGATACAGTGACTTTTTGGGAGGGATGTGAGGGAATTCACCATGGCCTCAATTTTGCTCCTGAAAGTGGGGGAGGCAACAGGAGAGAAGTGAGTTTTGTAGTCTCAGAGGAGAATGGGAGCAGCAGCTCTATCACTGCCCAGTGAAGGTGTAGCCACGTTTGATGGCCATAAATTTATACTCTTACAACTACTGAAAAAATGCTGCATTGACCATCTCAGTGTACACCTGTGTGTACACAGGAGAGTGTATTTCTGAAGGATTAATGCCTAGATATGGTATATCTGGGTCCAAAAGTACGTGCTGGGTCCAAAAGTACGTGAAAGATATAGATGAAATTCCTGCACTCTAGTCAGCCACAGGTATTAAAAGACCTTTAATTTTTGCCAGTGTGAAAGATGCAAAAATTGTTTTATTGCGCTTCTAGAATCTTTAGCTAGCTTGAATCTCTCTTTGACCTCACTTGCAGATACTGAAGTTGTGCCCTCCATATTACCATCCTACTGTACTCATACAATTTACCTGTTTATAGGTCTGTCTGGTTCACTAGATGTGGAGCTCCTGGGGATGTAATCACCACCCTGTTCCCAGACCTGGACATTCAGCATTTTTATTCATTTACAGGTTTTTTTGTTTTTAATTATTATTATTTTTTAATAAAGACGGGGTTTCACCATGTTGGTCAGGCTGGTCTTGAATTCCCGACCTCAGGTGATCCGCCCGCCTTGGCCTCCAAAGTGCTTAGATTACAGGCGTGAGCCACCATGCCCGGCCTATTTACAGGTTTTTTAAAGAGTGGGGCGTTTGCCACCGTCTGTATGTCTCTCAATTTCTCTCTGCCTCTCTCTCCTGCACCCTCCCTCCTCACACACATATTTTCCCCTTCCTCCACACCCCAGGAAGAATCTCTTGCATTTTCACACCCCGTTTGACTACATAAAACTCACTTTCTCCTTCAGATCTCACACTGTAAGAAAGAGGTGAACCAGTTTTCCAAGTCTTATGTCTGATTTCACTTTTGTTTTGTTATTACTGTTTAGAAAGACTGACCATTAATTCTCACTTTGGTGTTTCTTTATAGAAACTTCCATCCTTGATGAATTATTATTTGATCCTTCCTCAGCTTTAATAGCATTTTTAATACTGTCGTGTTTTATAACTAAACTCACTATGCTTTAATTGGCATACTCTTAAAAATAGTGTTACCCAGTGATAAACAATGTTATATTTTACCAATGTAACCTTTCTGTCTCAAATTTAGAAAGTGGAAGCCCCCTTTTATTATCTCTACTTAAGTGAATTTTGAAAAGCAAAAGAAGCAGTTCTAGTTCATCTTTTTCCCCAGCCTCCAAACGACAGGCAGATCTCATTTTATTGTGCTTCTCATTATCGTGCTTCGCAGATAATTGCGTTTTTCGTAAACTGAAGATTGGTGGCAACCCTGAGTCGTGCAAATCTACTGGGGCCATTTTTACAACAGCATGTGCTTACTTTATATTTCTGTCACATTTTGGCAATTCTTATAACATTTCAAACTTTTTCATTTTTACATCTATTATGGTGGTCTGTGATCAGTGATCTTGGGTGTTACTAGGATAATTGTTTGGGATACCACATATTATGCCCGTATAATATGGGCCAACTTAATTGATAAGTGTTGTGTTATGTCTGCTCCACTAATGGGCGTTTCTCCCATCTCTCTCCCCCTTTTTGGGCCTTCCTATCCCCTGAGACAATATTGAAATTAGTCCAGTTAATAACACTACAATGAGCTGGGCACAGTGGCTCACACCTGTAATCTCAGCACTTTGGGAGGCTGAGGTGGGTGGATCACCTGAGGTCAGGAGTTCCAGACCAGCCTGGCCACCATGATGAAACCCCGTCTCTACTAAAAATATAAAAATTAGCTGGGTGTGGTGGTGGGCACCTGTAATCCTAGCTACTCGGGAGGCTGAGGCAGGATAATTACTTGAACCTAGGAGGCAGAGGTTGCAGTGAGCCAAGATTGTGCCACTGCACTCCAGCCTGGGTGACAAGAGCGAAAACGCCATCTCAAGAAAAATTAGCCAGGTGTGGTGGCACACCTGTAATTCCAGCTACTTGTAAGACTGAGGCATGAGAATTGCTTGAACCCAAGAGGCAGAGGTTGCAGTGAGCCAAGATCGTGCCACTGCACTCCAGCCTGGGTGGCAGGAAGACTCTGTCTCAGACAAACAAACAACAGCAACAAAAAACCCTACGATGGCCTCTAAGTGTTCAAGTAAAGAGTCACACACCTCTCACTTCAGATCAAAAGCTAGAAATGATTGAGCTTAGTGTGGAAGGCATGTTAAAAGTCGAGACAGACCAAAAGCTAAGCCTCTTTTACCAGTTAGCCAAGTTGTGAGTGCAAAGGAAAAGTTCTTGCAGGATATTAACAGAGATGCTCTAGTGAACACATCAATGATAGGAAAGTGAAATAGCCTTATTGCTAATGTGAAGAAAGTTTGAGTTTTCTAGATAGAGGATCAAACCATCCACAACATTTCTTTCTTTTTTTTTTTTTTTCTTTTGGAGATGGAGTTTGTTTCTCTTACCCAGGCTGGAGTGCAGTGGCATGATCTCAGTTCACTGCATCCTCTGCCTCCCGGGTTCAAGCAATTCTCTTGTCTCGGCCTCCCAAGTAGTGGGGATTACAGGCATCTGCCACCACACCCGACTAATTTTTGTAGTTTTGGTAGAGGCAGGGTTTCACCATGTTGGCCAGGCTGGTCTGGAACTCCTGACCTCAAGTGATCTGCCTGCGTCAGCCTCTCAGGTGCTAGAATTACAGGTGTGAACCACTGCTCCCACCCCATAACATTTCTTTAAGCCAAAGCCTAATCCAGAGCAAGCCCCAACTCTTCAGTCCTGTGAAAGCTGAGAGAGATGAGGAAGCTGCAGAAGAAAAGTTGGAAGCTAGCAGAGGTTCATGAGACTAAAGGAAAGAAACTGTTTCTGTAACATATAAGTGCATGGTGAGCAGCAAGGCTGAGGGATAAGTTGCGCACATCATCCAGAAGATCTAGCTAAGGTCACTGATGACGGTGCAGTGATGAGGGTACACTAAACCACAGATTTTCAATGTAGGCAATATAACCTTCTATTAGAAGATGTCGTCTAGGACTTTCATAGAGAAGAGAAGTCAATGCCTGACTTCAGAGTTTCAAAGGACTCTTTTAATGGGGGCTAATGTAGCTGATGGCTATAAGTTGACGCCAATACTTATTGACCATTCTGAAAATCCTGAGGCCCTTAAGAATTATGCTAAATTGGCCGAGCGTGGTGGCTCACGCCTGTAATCCCAGCACTTTGGGAGTCCTAGGCGGGCGGATCACGAGATCAAGAGATTGAGACCATCCTGGCCAACATCGTGAAACCCCATCTCTACTAAAAAATACAAAAGTTAGCTGGGCGTGGTGGCATGCACCTGTAGTCCCACCTACTCAGGAGGCTGAGGCAGGAGAATTGCCTGAACCCAGGAGGTGGAGATTGCAGTGAGCCAAGATCGTGCCATTGCACTCCAGCCTGGGTAGCAAGAGTGAAACTCCGTCTCAAAAAAAAAAAATAAATAAATAAATAAAAGATTCTGTCTCCAGAAAAAAAAAAAAATGCTAAATAGGCCAGGCACGGTGGCTCATGGCTATAACCCCAGCACTTTGAGAGACTGAGGCAGGCAGATCACCTAAGGTCAGTAGTTTGAGACCAGCCTGACCAACATGGAGAAACCCTGTCTCTACTAAAAATACAAAATTAGCTGGGCATGGTGGCACATGCCTGTAATTCCAGCTACTCGGGAGGTGGAGGTTGCAGTGAGCCAAGATTGCGCCATTGCACTCCAGCCTGGGCAAGAAGAGCAAAACTCTGTCTAAAAAAAAAATTATGCTAAATCTACACTGCCTGTGCTCTAGAAATGATACAACAAAGCCTAGATGACTTGAAAGATTTCTTTCAAAATATTACTGCTCATTGACAAGGCACCTAGTTACCCAAAAGGTATGATATAGATGTACAAGGATATTAACGTTTCATGCCTGCCAACACAACTTCCATTCTGTACCTCATGGATCAAGGAATAATTCTGACTTTCAAGTTTTATTTAAGAAATAAATTGCCTAAGGGTATAGTTGCCATAGGTAGTGATTCCTCTGATGGATCTGGGCAAAGGGTAGAATTCACCATTCCAAATGCCATTAAGAACATAAGAAGGTCAAAATATATTAACAGGAGTTTGAAAGAAGTGGATTCCAACCCTCACGGATGACTTTGAGGGGTTCAGCACCTCAATGGAGGAAGTAAGTAACTGCAGATGTGGTAGAAATAGCAGGAGAACCAGATTTAGAAGTGGAGTCTGAGGATGTGACTGAATTGCTGCAGTCTCATGATCAAACTTCAACGGATGAGTAGTTGCTTTTTAAGGATGAGCAAAAAAAGTGGTTTCTTGAGATGGAACCTACTCCTGGTGAAGATGCTGTGAGTGAAATGACAACAAACAAAGGATTCAGAATATTACATAAACTTGGTTGATAAAACAGCAGTAGGGTTTGAGAAGACTGACTCTAATTTTGAAAGAAGCTCTGTGGGTAAACGCAATCAAACAGCATGGCTTGCTATGGAGAAATCTTTCACAAAAGAGGAATCAATGCAGCAAACTTCATTGTTGTCTTATTTCAAAACTACCACAGCCACCTCCGTCTTCAGCAACCACTGATAAATCAGCAGCCATCAACATCAAGGCCAGACCTTCCAGTATGACTCACTAAAGGCTCAGATGATTGTTAGCATTTTTTTAGCAATAAAATATTTTAATTAAGATATGTACATTGAGTTTCTACATATAATGCTATTGCACACTTAATAGACTACAGTATCATGTAAATATAACTTATATGCACTGGGAAACTAATATATTTCTGTGACGTCCTTTATTGCAATATTTACCTTATTGCAGTGGTCTGGAATTGTCTCCAAGGTATTCTTGTTCTGGAAAGCTCTCCAATTGCCTGTCTAATAACGGTTCTATACTTTGCCTCGTCCCTCATCTATCGACTTGAAATGAAAACATTGCTCTCTTACTGAAGATCGTTGTGAGAATTAACTGTAGGGGTAGGAGAGGAGGGAAAGCATATTTTTTAGGTTATAAGGCTGAATGGAAATTACAGAGATGAGAAATCGTACATAAAATAAGTCAGATAAGCTCTTGTAAAACATATTTCTATTTCCAGAAAATTTTAAAATGGCTCTGGAGCTCTGCCCTTCACATTTGTTTAATTGAATAAACTTAAGTGAAAATATAAAGCAATGTTTCTTTGCCAAGAAGAAAAATTTCTAAAGGAAAGTGGTCATTTTAGCTATTTGGATATTACATGTCAAATGAAAACTCTATATGTTAATATTTAGAAAATGCACATTTCTCTTAAATCGATTTGCTGCTCTGCAGGGTTTTCTTTTGCTCTGGTATATTCTTTTTCTTTTTTTTTGAGATGGAGTCTCACTCTGTCACCCAGG